TAGCGGCATGAAACTCAGAGTTACAACCAACCTGAACGTCCTCCGCTGAGTCTGCTATGTACTAAGCTCTGTCTCTGACATTGAGCACTCTCTGCAGCTCGGGGATCAACGGATTTTTGTCTACGCTCCTGGCCTTACCCAGTCGAGCACTCTACCCCTACACTGCAAGCTAGCTATGGACGCTTCAAGGCCAATGCAACTGGGATATTCCCTGAAGAATATCCCTCTACCTTCACCCAAGCAGTACCGGAAATGTCTAATTGACAGGATTGAGCAAGTCATCAAGCGTATGAGGTGGGCTGCCTTGTTCTACCTCAATGGCGAGGAACGCGAAGAGGAGCAACCAGAACGCTTTGGCTTCAGAAGCAGGACGTGTCCTCCGCAAGTCGATGAACTGAAGGCCTTCGAAGAGGACCTCATTGGCGTGGCTGAAACTGTCAGCTTCCGCCAAGTATCAGACAGCCTCCAAGACACTATGAGAAAAGACACCAAAACGATCAAAAACTCTAAGGACATCATCGTGAAAGCCGATAAAACCCGGAATTTGTACGAAGTACCAAAAGAGCAATACAGCAAGCTGATGAGGGAGAACATCACCAAAAATTACAAGATCGCGCCTGAGAATGCTTACGATGAAGTCAACAGCGAGGCGAGGGAGATCGCAGAGGATCTAAATCTTCAAAACAGGATGGATGTACTGGCTAAGTCGGAGGCATTTATAACACTGAAAGACCACAAAAACAACTTCGCTAGGGCGCTGCCCTGCAGACTCATTAACCCAGCAAAATCGGAAGTGGGTGTGGTGAGCAAGGCTATACTGGAGAAGATCGTGGCTGCTGTGCGTCGCCAAACGGCCGTGAACCTATGGAGGAGCACCATGTCAGTGATCGAGTGGTTCAAGGAGATACCCGACAAACAGCGCCACACGTTCCTATGCTTTGACGTGGTAGAATTCTACCCGTCAATTGGTGAGCAGCTCCTCCGTCAGGCCTTATCGTTCGCGGAGCAATTCATCACGATCGAGCCGCGTGAAATGGACATCATCTTTCACGCCCGGAAATCGCTCCTATTCCACGATGGCCGCCCCTGGATGAAGGACAAGGGCGACATGTTTGACGTAACAATGGGAAGTTACGATGGCGCCGAGACGTGCGAACTTGTGGGGGCCTTTCTTCTCAACCAGCTCTCAAGCCTCGTCGGTAGATCCGCTATCGGCCTCTACCGAGACGATGGTCTGGCCGCCCTCAAGGACACCAGCCCACAGGCTGCAGACCGCCTCAGAAAAAAGCTGACGGAAATATTCAAGCGCTTCGACCTAAAAATTACCATCGAAGCGAACTTGAAGGTGGTGGATTTCCTGGATGTCACCATGAACCTGGACACCGGGAAATTTCAACCCTTCCGAAAGCCCAATGACAACCCGCTCTACGTCAGCAAGCAGTCCAACCACCCGCCTGGGATTACCAACAACATCCCTGCTGCTGTCAACAAGCGCCTTTCTGCTATATCGAGCGACGCGGAGGCATTCAACCATGCAGCCCCCGTGTACCAGACCGCATTAAAGGCCAGTGGATACACCGAAGTGCTGAACTTTCAGCCCGAGGCACATGAGCGCAGGGGCAGGAAGAACCGCAGCCGGAAGGTCATATGGTTCAACCCTCCCTACTCCAAAAACGTTAGCACAAACGTCGCTGGTAGGTTCCTGAGCCTTGTCTCCAGGCACTTCCCGAAAACATCCAAGCTCGGGAAGATTTTTAACCGTAACACTCTGAAAGTGAGCTACAGTTGTATCTCCAACATGGGAGCGGTCATCAGCAGCCACAACAAGAGCAACCTGCGAGAGCCAGAACAAACCAAGGCATGCAACTGCAGAATTAAGGAATCCTGCCCGCTGCGCGGAGAGTGCCAGACGAAGGAGATTGTGTATGAGGCCACTGCAGAATCTACCAGCAAGATTTACATCGGCCTATCAGAGACACCTTTCAAAGCCCGTCGCGCCAACCACCTGACCTCCATGCGTCATGAAAAATACAAAAACAGCACTGAGCTCGCAAAACACGTATGGGAGCTGAAGAGCGAGGGAAAGCCGTTGACCATCACATGGAAGGTGCGGGAGAAGAGCCGATCATACAGATGTGAGTCAAAAAAATGCAATCTTTGTACCGCGGAAAAATTCCACATCCTGACTACACCCAAGAAGCTCCTACTCAACAAGCGGTCTGAGATGGTCTCGAAATGCAGGCATGAGAATAAGTTCCGCCTCGCAAATTTCACACCTATCACATGAACTGACCAAGTACTGTACTGCACTTTGCCTGAGCACCCATTATTATTATTAATAACACAATCCCTTGGCCTGTTGTTGGCGATGCCACTCTGCTCACGCCTGCCCGTCACCAAACGACTCCCTACTTGTAGTGATCTCACTGGGCCATTGCCCGCCACCCTCCTGGCACCCCCACCCTCCCCCCACACATCTGCTGTACACTGCCTCCCCATCGCCTCTTTCCGCACTTTCATGCTCACACCTGCCTGTTGCCCGCCACCCTCCTGGCACTTCCACTGTCGCGCCTTGGCCCGCGCCAGCTTTCTCCCCATACCTCACACCAGATTTAGCGCTAAATTTGTTTATGCTTGTGGCCCTATGTGTTTATAAGCATACTGTTGGGTAGACCCGAGTATCAGTTGTCTGATGATTGCCTAGCGGCATGAAACTCAGAGTTACAACCAACCTGAACGTCCTCCGCTGAGTCTGCTATGTACTAAGCTCTGTCTCTGACATTGAGCACTCTCTGCAGCTCGGGGATCAACGGATTTTGATGTATGTATGTATGTATTACTTTGCCAGCAACGTCGAGGAGTGATATCCCACGCCAGTTATCGCATAACGTCAAATTGCCCTTCTTAGGAATCGGGACCAAAACGGCATCCTTCCACTCCTGTGGAACTTCACCCGCCTGAAAGCAGTCAACCGCAAGCTCATGTAGCTTGGAGACGAGCATCGGGCCACCGTATTTCAGTAGTTCGGGCAAAATACCAGAGTATCCAGGTGCCTTCCTGTTTTGCAGAGTCCCAAGGGCCTTGCGGACTTCCTCAATTGTTGGCACCCCTGCGCACATCAGCAGATGACGTGCAGCATGTCACTGAGTTTACCTACCTTGGTTGCCTCATAACACCTGATGGCACAACATCTGCAGACGTCACCCATCGCATAGCTGCAGCCTCCAAAGCTTTCGGACGCCTCCGTAAGCCAGTCTTACACAACAGAGATTTACCGGTCTCCACGAAACGTAATGTATACACAGCCACTGTTCTCTCAGCATTGCTGTATGGCTCTGAAACCTGGACACCCCTGCAGCGGGATGTGCGTCGTTTGGAAGTATTCCACAACCAATGCTTGCGGACTATATTTGGCATCAGCGGAAAGAGGCAGCAAGAGGAACGCTTGTTCTCATCCACAGTCCGAACGTGGTGGGGTGATACCGAGCTAGTTACAGAGAAGATTATGTTTTGCAGACTGACTTGGCTTGGTCATGTTATCCGCATGTCGCCCGAACGCTTGCCACGGCTACTCCTGTTCGGTTCACTGACCCAGACGCGACCTCAACACAAGCCCAAGAAGCGGTGGAAAGATGCAATCCGTGCTGACCTCAAGATGGCCAATGTCAAGGAGAGAGACTTGTGTGATGCAACCAGCTGCCGGAGTACTTGGAGGTCAGAATGCCGTGAAGCTGTTGCTTGCGCGCACCGCACCAGGACTGAGCACAAGATCAAGCCGGTCCTGTGCGACACCTGCGGCCGGAGTTTCTCTCAGCCCCGCTACATGGCGCGTCACAAGTGCACAGTGGAGCGAGCAAAGCCGGTGAGAGAGCAGTCTGGGTCTGTTCAGTGTAATGCGTGCGGCCGCTGGCTCCTATCTCGTGGGGGCTTGGCGAACCATCGGTGCGGCAATGATCCAGCTCATTCCCTCAGCCAGCCTCGACGGCAGCAACAACAACAGAAACCGCCAGCAGTTCGAGACGGGGCAGGTTTGACGTGCCTTGTATGCCAGCGAACCTTCACGTCCATCAGTGAAAGGACTCGACACAAGTGCAAACTGACTGACATCCAAACTACAGCGGCACCACCCCTGGAGTGCTCCACCTGTCACCGGACCTTCCGCTCGACTAGCGGCCGGACACACCACCGATGCGGCAGGGTGACTAGTACCATTTGACTTGTCCCTTCGGGGACTGCGTAGCCAGACTTGGCAGCAGGATCAAGATCAAGATGTATGTATGTATGTATGTATGTATGTGTGTGTGTGTGTGTGTGTGTGTGTGGTGTGTGTGTGTATGTGTGTTGGCCTGGACGGCTGGGGACACCCCAGGTGGGGTATTCTGAGGTGGGGTATTCACCCCTGAGGTGGGGTATTCACCGACAGAAGACTTGGTCGGATAGTTACGATGCTGACACTCTCCTCGTCGCCCCCACCTCGGAGTCCTTCGCGAGGCTTTGCAAGCCCGCGAGTGGAGCAAATTACCGCACGAAGACGACGACTTGGAACGACTCTGAGCGTTGGCTCATGGAATGTTCGCTCTGTTGTGGAGAGTGATGGACCAGTTCTAGCGGCAGCCGTGAGAGGAATCGTTTCCGATGATAAGCCAGAGCCATAGCTGCTGGAGATGGCTCTCTCGAACATGGTCCCGCTCGTCGTTCTATATTGTCGGCCCCGTAAGGGGACACGTGACCGTAATGGCAGTGTTTACCAGGACCAGGACCAGGGTATGTGTGTGCATGTGTGTGTGTGTTTGTGTGTATACATGTGAGTACACATGTATACTGGCACTTTACTACAGTACATCTTCTTATGTTCTGTATGGTTGAGTGGGTAGGGAATTTGGTTGAGTGGGTAGGGAATTTGGTTGAGTGGGTAGGGAATTTGGTTGAGTGCGTAGGGAATTTGGTTGAGTGGGTAGGGAATTTGATGTGCACACGACTAAGGTCATAAGTGTACTTACACTTCTTTAGTCTCTCCATTGCAATACGAGATCCAGCGTACGCAGGTTTGATATCACGGCCAATTTCTTCTACAGCCACCATCAGTGCATGATACCGCTTTTCTAATTGTTCCTCTGGCGTTAGTACTACTGGTGCAGGCATGTCAGAACTGGGCACAAGATACTGGATTTGCTGTGTGATCGGCGCAGGCATTGTAGCAGGCACTGTAGTACTGGCAGTAGCTCCAGCAGTTGTAGCAGTTGTAGCTACTGCAGCAGCAGCAGCAGCAGCACCAGCAGTTGTGACAGTAGCTGGAGTTGGAACAGCAGCAGCAGGTATTTGGGAAGTATCTGTTGTTAACTGTTGACTCATTGCTTGAGCTGCGATCGTGGAAGTGCTAGGAGTAGCCGTTGCAAGCATAGTGCTTGTAGCTGTTGTTGATGGTGCAGATGATGCCAGCGATGACACAGGCGCAGTTGCACCTGGTGCAGGTGCAGGCATTGGTGTGAGGCGGTCACTTGCTTCGGCAGACGTGTCCATAGTCGTCTTGCCAGTGGAAGCCTGTGCAGCACCGCTGGTATTGCCACTGTCACTCACATCTGAACATTTATACGCAGAAGCAGCACATATGCGTACACATGCACACACGCACATACATGTACACACACACTCAGACACTCAGATTCAGACACACACACACACACACGCACGCACACACACACACACACACACATGTACATCCATACATGCACGCGCGCACACACACACATACACACACACACACACACATACACACACACACATACACACACACATACACACACACACATACACACACACACAAATGTATAGACACATGTGCGCGCACACATGCAAGCACACACACACACGCACATACACATCTAACGATGGCAACGACAACACCCTACTAGTCTGTAGTACCAAGTAGGCAAGGGGGCATACGCCAGCATGTGACCAGAATGTGCAAATCTGCATACCATTTTTTCCAGGGTCAAGGCCGCAGAAAATGACCCCTGCGGCTCGCATATCCCAAACATGTATTTTCATACAAACAATACAAACTAAAATGTGACATTTCGTGTCCAGGGGGGGATCTTGGAGGCCGTGAATGCCGTCTTGCACTACACGTGCATTTGTACCACCTGCGACATCCATTTAGACTACTAACCGTAACAAACTGCTCACCACAACCAATAAGGCACCAGAACTAAGAGAACGCCTGCACACATCATGACATCACTAGCCACCGACTGTTTTTACCTCCCGCATCCGAAATTGGATCAGGACTATATTATTACTAATAGGCACATGGAAACACTCAAATAATTCCACACATCTACACAAAAATACAGAATTTAGGTGCAACGAGGGCAAAGTCAATTTTGCAGAATGTGGTCAATTTCTGGCTGTACATTTGCAATAAATTCGAATGCGTATGTAATGTATCTTGTAATCAGGTACACACTCAAACGAAATCTTGAGTTTGGACTTGCTGCTGTCTGGGGGTAAGAGCTTCGACTTTAGCCTTGAGTAGTTCCTAACAATATACAATAATTATAATACCGCCTTTTGGCTCTGGGTGGCTTACCTCTGTTGGGCTCCATGGATTCCATGTGTTCACGTATCTACAATTGTACGTCCTCTTGAAGTCAAAAGTACTAAAATGATACGAATGAAAAAGTATTCAATGAAAGTGCAATTGCTTGAAAGGAAATAATTGACGACACCTCAACAGCTTACAACGGACAAAGTGACACGGAAGATCACCAGTACAACGCGAAACATAACGTCCGTGCATTCATCGTCAAAAGTGGCATACGGACATACAGAGTTGCGTACCTCATTTTTGCGCAAAAAAGAGTGAAATTGCAGAAAAATTCCCACGTGGCGCCAAATTTTTGATTCGTCAAAATATTCATCAAATGAATTCAGCTGGAGACAGAGTGGAGGATAATCCAACGAAGTATTAGTTTGAGTATTCTCGTTCTCTTCGTTAGGGAGGAAGGCAGAAGAGCTGCTTGTTCAAGAGGGAAGGCTGCCAGGACACTTGGTAGTATTTAGACGAAAGTCGCGGAGAGCATATGATTGTTTGCTTTTGAGGTGAAAAACGAATCTGAATTCCTCTGTCAACCTCTAATTCAGTGAATTTGCTCACTAGTTTTTGAGAATGCATTCATGATGACACATGTGGGCATACACATAGTAATAAAGTAGTGATGGCTGGTATTGTGGAATCAGCGCCGTCTTTTACGCCGTTTGGCCGTTCTGCATTGGCTCACGACGAGAAAATTCTTGTTGAGGTTAGTGCAGTCTTTCTCATGACGAAACAATTAACGTTATGTGCATAAGAGGGACTGGGTAGTAGTCCCGGGCCTGGTAGTGGATAATTTCAGGGCTCTGAACATGGAGTAGAAAAAAAGAAAGGCCAGCTAATACCAGTGTCCTGTGGTGTACCCACGTAGGCTTAGTATGGAGAGCAGGAACATGGAGCAGCTGCTGTACAGCTGTATTGCATTCCCAAAACACAGTCATTAGTCGTAGACAATGTTAACCTGCCCAAGAGCATGACAGTGGACTTCTAGGGCGCGTTAGGTTGGTACAGGATCGAATAGCCAGTCCACAAGGAGCAGCCTCATGCCAAGCAAACAGTGTTCCAGAAACATTGTACATTTATGCGAAAAGTGCACCAAACTTGGGTGCATTCGTCAAAACGTGTACGAGTCACCATAGTCATTTGTACGGTATACAACGAGTAGGCCAGGTGCAACCCAAAAGCGTATGCACGTGATCATTTTGAACAAAAATGATGTTTCGCAGTGAAAAAATGAAACTGCTGCTGCTCTGGCCTTGAGACTGGAGCAAGGAGAATATGTTCTGGCCAATCCAGAACAGGTGCAGTCCCAACCAAATACGCTTTTCTGGTGAATCCTGTTCTAGGTTGTGCCAACCAAACACGCCCCTAGTGTACTCTCTGTACTACTACAACACTCTCTAACTGGGGTTTGCATGTACAACACTCCACAAACATTTGAAAGAACTCCTGCAGTGCATGATGTACTTGAACATTTTGCTAGTAATGTGCATCGATATTCCCTAAAAATATGTGCTTGATCAGTTCGAAATGGTACGCAAACACAAACCACTACAACAGTGCCTCTCGAACATTTGAAAGAAGTCCTGCAGTGCATCATGTACCTGAGCATTTTGCTCATAATGTGCATATCGATATTCCCTAAAAGACGTGCTTTATCAGTTGGAAATGGACAAATGGTACACACACACAAACCTCTAGTGCCATGGCCTCAGTACATGTTGGGATATTCTTCTGCATGTGACAGAATGCTAGAACCTGATGGAAAGAACTCCCTCTGCTACCAGACATTGGGGCATGTTTGGAATATTTTGGCCAGAATTCTCCACAGGCTCAAGACACGTTGATCGAGATGAGGCCATGTGTGTGTGTGTGTGTGTGTGTGTGTGTGTGTGTGTGTGTGTGTGTGTGTGTGTGTGTGTGTGTGTGTGTGTGTGTGTGTGGACTAACGTTATGCTGGACACAGCATCTCTATGGTCGACTCCTGTGAGGCGCTTCTGTCCGCAATGCAATAGTGCATATGCGTGAACACGTTTTGTTATTTTCCCACTACGAGTACAAGTTTGGTGAGGGTGTTCACTAATATTGTACAAGTAGAACTGGCGGCTTTACCGAGCTCTGTCTTGACCTGAGAAAGGGCCTGTCGCTTGGTACTTTGTAACTTAAAAAAAAATGCATTTCTGTAAAGCAACATTGCACCTGGAAGCTGCAGCCAGAACAGTTCTAGAACACTTTTTGTCTGCAGTAGGTGCAGCATCCTGGACTTCTTTGTATAAGGATGATGAATGTGGACTACAAACCGTTTTGTTGTGTCCATGATGGAGGTGAAGCACAGGAAGAGGTGGAAATGAACATGTGTGGCATGCAAGCAATGTTTTAACCATTTGAACTGTCATTCTAGCTGAAAACTCAGCCCACAGAAACTCATAGGTCTTGTAATCATAGACTTTAGACTCTGTAGATCATTATCAGATGGACCCATAGTCGCTTCCACTCTCGGTGTATGTACATTTCTAATGAAGGAGACTATTGTTTCATTGCATCGCACCTGCCGGGTGTGCGCACACACGTGTGTGGTCTTCTCCTTTTTTGTGCTTCAATATCCTTAGAAAGAGCGATGGAAGCTGGTCGCGTCCTATGCAGAGGATGGCTCGACCCTGTCTGGGTTAGAGGACGAGGTAAGCGTGCTTTCCACACGTTCACGGAGAGAGTTACAAAACAGTAAACAAGAACCTAGATCTAAGGACACAACGGCGGAATTTTTTTAGTTGACGTCACCTTTTTCAGAACCTATGATGCATGTCATACAAAGCACGCACAAAGCATGTGTTGGAAGACGACTTTCATCTAGAGTTTGTGTTTTTGCCGCTTTCAATACGAACATTTTCCTTTTTCTCCTGCTTCTCCAGCTTTCTTTACCGTACTCGTTGTGCAAGTTTAGTGAAACTCTGCCGAGTTCACCTGGCCACAGACTCACAGTGCATGCCTCGTACAGTATGACTCATGATCTCCAGAAAAGGTTACAGCAAATATTCCGCCGTGGGCCAACCCAAGAGGAGTTGCACTCTCTTGTTTATGTACTCTTAGTTTTAGGTATTGACGGAATGGAAACAGCGTGAATGACATGACAATGACTTTAGGTATTGACGGAACGGAAACAGCGTGAATGACATGACAATGACTTTGCCAGCGGCCTATAATTATGATGTCTGATGTGTACAACAGCCTATTTACTGTTGTGGTATTCTGTCTCTCCATTGCAGCTGTATTATAGTGGCAAGTTGGTTGTGTGGTCACGTGGTCATGGAAACCATGGCCGCCATCTCATGAGGTCATTCACTGTTGAGCAGGAAGTGCTGGATGTAAGTCAGTACAGTGACTAGTAGGCACATACATATAGCAGTGAATCTTACACGCATACATGTAGCAGTGAATCTTACACGCATGCATGTAGCAGTATATCTTACACGCATGCATGTAGCAGTATATCTTACACGCATACATGTAGCAGGAATCTTACACGCATGCATGTAGCAGTGAATCTTACACGCATACATGTAGCAGTGACTCTTACACGCATGCATGTAGCAGTATATCTTACACGCATGCATGTAGCAGTATATCTTACACGCATACATGTAGCAGGAATCTTACACGCATGCATGTAGCAGTGAATGTTACACGCATACATGTAGCAGTGAATCTTACACGCATACATGTAGCAGTGAATCTTACACGCATACATGTAGCAGTGAATCTTACACGCATGCATGTAGCAGTGAATCTTACACGCATACATGTAGTAGTGAATCTTACAGCATGCATGTAGCAGTGACTAGTAAGTAGGCACATGCATGTAGCAGTGAGTCTTACAACTTTTAAAAGCGGGATTCACAGAAGCTTTTTTGCGATGCGACAGCTGCAAAACCGGGAAATCCCCAAATCGCAGCCGTCCGGCACCCCACGCAACTGCCGCAACTGGGCCATCGCATAAGTTGAGCTTGGCTCAACTTTTTCGATGCGACAAGCGATTTTGTGTACGATTTTGACCTTTTCTACAGCAAAGTTGTACACAGGTTCAAGAGTTGCCTGTAAATTTGTACAAGTTGTACCAAACCGCGCGATTACCATGGTGACATGCCCACCTGCATTGAACTTCGCGCCAAATCAGCAAGGCGTCGTCGCATCGCTGACTTCTTCTGTGAATGGTATTTCGCGAGTTCGCATCGCACGCGTCCGTCGCAGATCACGTCGCATCGCGTGTCGCATCGCAAAAAAAGCTTCTGTGAATCCCGCTTTGCAAGGTTGGTACATGCATGTAGCAGTGGCTGGTAGGCACATCGTAGCACTCCTCTTGTCGTCTCTCTTTATTTCTCTTTTCCCCCGTCATCTCAGTGCAGCCAGTGCTTGACCCTGCGCTTGCTGTAGAATGTGCTTTGAAGCACATGCGTTTGCTCGGTCTTACTTGCTGCTTTCCAATGCTCCACCGTACTGCACTTCTGTACATTGTCAGATCCAGGGTTAGCCGTGTTGTATATCCATACCCTGCCACTGGAGTCTAGCTGAGGTAGTGGGCTATCGTATATCCACACCCTACACACTGGAGTCTTGCTGAGGTAGTGGGCTATCGTATATCCATACCCCACACACTGGAGTCTAGCTCAGGTAGTGGGCTATCGTATATCCATACCCTACACACTGGAGTCTTGCTCAGGTAGTGGGCTATCGTATATCCATACCCTACACACTGGAGTCTAGCTCAGGTAGTGGGCTATCGTATATCCATACCCTACACACTGGGAGTCTAGCTGAGGTAGTGGGCTATCGTATATCCATACCCTACACACTGGAGTCTGGTGCAGGTTGTGATCCCTTTGTTTAATGTGCTCATTGTTCTTGTACTGCCAGGTGTTTTGGTGCAAATTCTCTGGAGGAGTGAAGCCATGCGAGACTCGTTCAGGTCAGTGTACTTGTATGCACTCGTAGGCTGCATTCGATCATTCGTTCGGTCATTCGTTCTGAGTGTTTGTGTGTCATTATTATGTTCTGCTTCCTCCTGAAGCACACAACTTCATGACTTGTTTTGTTTAGCGGAGCAGAAGACTTCAAGACAATGAGTGGATATATATCTTTGAAGTGTCTACATTATCATTCAAAAGAAATTGGCACCGTTCAAGTCTCACTCCGAGCCACTATTGCTCGATTCCTCAGAGCTCAATTCACAAGAATGGACAGTTTGGTCAAAGTCACAAAGTTTTTGTTTGCGGGGGAAGTCTGTAAATTGTTGCAGCAGGATTAGGGGACTTGAAGCTTTGAGTGCCAGTTGGCGACATTTTGTTTCTGTGATTGTAGTGTGGGGCAGGGACTGCCTATCCATGTGTAGGTGTATTGATGTCTGTTTCTCTCTTGTCTTCTTTCTTTCTGACATGTGACAACAGATGAGTTGAGAGATTCACCTGCAGAGATATCGACGGAAACACCATGTTTATGCGTGGTGCAAGCTGCTTGTGTGTCAGTTTACACTATGAATGGTGCAGTGTTCAGTGTACCTGTTGCTATACAGGTCAGTTGTGTGTATGTGCCTGTGCGTATATGCCTGTGTGTATGCATTGGTGTGCATATGTGCCTGTGTGCATGTCAGTTGGGTGTAGGTGTCTGAGCATGTACCAAGAAAGTTTGCAAACTACCGTAAAAGTCCGTAAATAAGTACCTGCCCGAAAAAAATACCCCCTTCATTCTTTTGGCTCTGTCTTTTGAAGTCAAGTCAAGCCCGATAAACATACTGCCCGAAATAAGTACCGGTACGATGCGCACATGCAGTGTGTAGCATGTACATCTACGTGAAAATGACTTCTCCACTACACACAAGTCAAGTCCGAAAGTTAGTTCGTGCCCGAAAGTCAGTACCCGCCCGAAAGTTAGTACGGGTGTGGTCACTAAATTCGAAAGTAAATACGTACTTATTTACAGACTTTTACGGTATTTCGTTTCCTGCATATACAGCTGCGAAAAAGTGCCCTACCTCGTCAAGTATCCCATTCCATCCAAATATGATTGTTTGCAAAGCTCTCATGTGCCTAATTATTTAGTACTCGTAGCAGCCAGCTCACGTTCAATTGATTTTGCACACATGTTTGTTGTCTGTCTGTTTGTCTATCTGTCTGTCTGTCTGTCTGTCTTTAAACCACAGTAGATAGGCGAACCGCACAAAAAAGAGCAAGATTTGATACTGACAAATGTTAACATTTCGGCCATACTGGTCTTGTTCAAAATGATGTTGAGGACGGGGGAGAACACGCTCAATAACTAACTTACTGTAAATAGACAAATTTTCGGCAGCTATTTAATTTCGGCTATATTCGGCACCGACCCAAAACGCCTAAATTAAAACGCCGATGAAATTTTTAACAGCATCTGTCACACTATACCATGCCCTCTACCCCACGCCGAAAATAAATCGCCGCCAAAATGTCAAAAATCGTGAAGTGCCGAAATTTTGCACCACCGAAATTTTGTATATTTACAGTATAGAGGAGGGGAGGATGTGTGAAAATTGGTGCTATGACATTGTTCAAAGTGAAATAGGGTATGAAAAACACAAAGTGACATTGCACCAAAGTGACATCACCGGCTGTACAAACGTAGATGCAACACCACGTACAGTAGTAGCAAGCAGAGACAGTGACACGCAGCAGTAGTAAGAAACATCAGCAAAAAGTGAGTGGTAAACTAGCACACAAACGTGACATCCGTGTGTGTGTGTGTGTGTGTGTGTGCGTGCGCGCGCGCGCACACATGAGTGGGTGTGCATGCGTGTGTGTGTGTGTGTGTGTGTGTGTGTGTGTATGTGTGTGTGTGTGCAGTTTATGTGCTTGTTTTTCGGCTCACTTTTTGCTGATGTTTCTTACTTCAGTACTGCTGCTGTGCATCACTGTTTCTGCTTGCTACCACATGGTGTTGCATATACGTTTGTGTAGTTGGTGGTTTCACTTTTGGTGCAATGCCACTTTGTGTTTTTCGTACCCTATTTCACTTTGAACAATATCATAGCACCAATTTCTGCACATCTCATCCTCTCTATTAACCGAGTGCTCCCCCATTCTCAACACCATTTTGAACAAGACCAGTATGGTCGAAACGTAAAACATTCTGAGTAAGATAGGTGAGACTTCCTGCAGCTTCATACGTAGGTAGTGGTTTAGAGCAGACCTGCTCGTTTAGCATTTATCAGTATCAAGTTTTGCTCCTGGTGTGTGGGTCAGCTATTTACTGTTGTCTGTCCGTCTGTCTGTCTAGCAAGAGCTTGATTTTCCAAACGATGACACACTAGCAACGGTCCAGCTAGAACATCCATGGTGTGCAACAATGCTGTACGTCCGTCTGTCTGTTTGTCGGTCTGTGTGTCGATGTATATGTGTTTGTCTGTCTGTCTGTCTGCCCGTGTGCACCCGGGTATTGGTCTCTGTGCGTGGCGGCGGTGGTGGTGGTGGCTGTATTGCTGTCGGCTGGTGTGCGCGTGTGTACCTCTAGATCACCAAGGCTTGGTCAGTTCCCGGAGCACTGCTACTGTACAGCGAGAAGTCAAAGAAAGAGAGGTGAGACCACTCATATACACTCTACATGTCCATTGTTGGTCAAAGAAAGAGAGATGAGACCACCCTATGCACTCTACATGTCCATTATTGTTCAAAGAAAGAAAGGTCAGACCACCCTATGCACTCTACATATCCATTGTTCAAAGAAAGAGAGATTGTCAGACAACCCTTTGTACTCTACATGCCCTTTGTAAATCTAAGATTCTCTAGACCTGTCATTTTCCTGCTCATTTAGCATCTTTTGGCTTGCCACTGTAGTTTCTCATGAACTTCACACACGAAATCACCTTCTGTGTTCAAAAGTAGTGATTTTTGCTGAGTCTAATTGCCCGTTTCTTACTCGCCTTGTTGCGTGTTGCCATAGTGATGATGCGGGGAGAGTTGATGCTCAAGAACTCTATTCTCTGGTGCATCCCCTTGATGAAATCAAGCCGCTGGCCCTACTGCAAGAAGGTACGGTTCGTGTTTGCATATTTGAAGTTTAACGTTACTATGTATGCTGGCGTTTCCTGGTTGTACAGTGTGTGTGTGTGTGTGTGTGTGTGTGTGTGTGTGTGTGTGTGTGTCGCTGCTCGTTTGGCGCAGGCGTCCCGGCTGTTCGGCGTGCTCAGGTCTCCGATATTTCAGTGCGTACATCTCTCGGTCCACACCAAGCGGCTGGTGTATCGTGCTATTGTCCTTCCTGCTCTTCTCTACGGTGCGGAGACATGGCCCATCAAAGCGGGTCATATTCGCCGACTCAACACCTTTCACCATCAGTGTATTCGTACAATTCTCGGTATCTCTCGTCGTGAGCAATGGGAGGAGAGATTGTCGTCGGCATCGCTGAGTGAGCTGGCAGGGGTGGACGTCGACATGGCCGATGTGATCAGCAAGCACCGCTTCCGTGGCTTGGTCATGTTGCACGGATGAAGGAGACCCGGCTGCCCAAGCAGATGCTGTTCGGCGAACTGCCCTGCAAACGCCCGCAACATGGTTCCAAGAAGCGCTGGCGGGATGTTGTGTCCTCGGACTTTACTGTCATCGGTTTGTCTGAAGCGGACTGGTATGACACAACGCAGGAGAGATCCGCCTGGTTTCAGTGTCGTCGACAGAGGGTCGAGAAGGAAGCCCCAGACATCCCGTGCCCCAACTACCGCTGTGACAGAGTGTTCCGTCGTCCTGGTGACCTCAAGCGGCATGCGCCTTACTGCAGATTTCGCGTTTAGAGCCTCAGCGTGAGGAAGCCATCGCTATCATTGCTACGGCAATGGGCGTTAAAGGTTCAAGGTGTGTGTGTGTGTGTGTGTGTGTGTGTGTGTGTGTGTGTGTGTGTGTGTGTGTGTGTGCGTGTGTGTGTGTGTGTGTGTGGTGTGGTGTGGTGTGTGCGTGTGTGCGTGTGTGTTACTTTGCACGGCACAGACACTACAAGTGGGTTGGACCGTCTTCATTGCACATTGCTGCCAATGTTGGCGTTAGATATCATACTTGTTGATGTTTGTCTCGTCACTATCGCTGTATTCTGCCGATACATGTATGACCGGAGAGAGAGAAAAGAGAACATTTGGCGTTTTATATCTGATTATTCTGTGTTGACTTCACAAGTGGACTGGCGAGAACTTCATGATCTTGCCCAAAGCCTGCCTGGCCAGTTCTTCAGAATTGTGTTTCTTTGACAGTTGTTAAGAAATGCGAGCATGGAACACTTCCCGTCTCGTTTGTTTTCCAGGAGAACCTCCAGAGAAGAGTCGTTCCATCTTGGCACATCTTGAACATATGACACCCATCCATGCGTTCGCTGAAGTTCCTATTATTCTGTTCAAGGAGAAGAGAACCGGTGGAAAGTTTCACCTGTATCGCATGGAGCTGCTACCTCCAAGAAAGGTCAGTGAAACGTTGTGAGTGCCTGCAGTGCATTGCGTAATTCACGTCTTGCTTTGGTATTCATTTGTTACATTGATGTTTGATTGTTGCAGTGTAGCAACAGTACGTAACTAAGAGTATGCAACTTGGCGATCACTCGGCTCATGGCGAAATTTCAGTCCTTCCCAGCCGTTTGACTCACTGTTGCTATCATGCGTAGCCGGAGATCCAAGTCCAAAACACTTGCACATTGCAGCTACGATAGTCGAAACAGAACAACGGACGGTATATCCACCGGTACCTTCAACGAATATTATAACTTTTTCTCTCAACCTTTTCTCTCGCTGCTGTAGCTCTTTACTGTACTCGTAGTGCAAGGTTAGTAACACCCTGCTCAGCTCAAGCGGCAACAGATTCTTAGTACGTACCCGTGCGGTATCACTCATGATCTCCAGGAAAGTTGACGTCAACAAGAAATTCCGCCGTGGGCCAAACCAAGCGGAGTTGCACACTCTTGTCTAGTGCACGTAGTATGTACAGTGGTCCCTCTATAATCCGGCACCATTTGTGCCACGAAAATCTGCTGGATTAGGGAGGGTGCTGGATTAAGAAATCTGATCTACTGCTGCAATGTGCATGAAGAGGACATTTGGCTACTGAAAATTGTGCCGGTTTATCGAGGGTGCTGGATTATAAAGTGCCGGATTAGAGAGGGACGACTGTACATATATTCTTGGTAACAGTCCAGCAATCGAACCAGATAATGATCAGCCAGAGAGTGGAGAGTGTGACAACTGGGCACACACTGACAAGGACTATATTATATGTACTGCACATTGGACATGACTGTGTTGGAGCAGGTGTCAGGTTGTTGCATGGCACAGTACTACATGACGTACTTGTCAGGTTGTACCCAGTTTGTCTGTTCGTTATCTGGCTCAATTGGTGAACTGTTTTAACAGTTAAAATTATAACGTGTACCCAATTATTCTGACTCGGTTTCTGGTACTTGCTTGGCTCAGCGTCCGAGTTTAATTATGATAGCAGTACTATTTCTTTTTGTCCTTGCTGTTCCTGTCTTGCAGGTTGTTCCAGCTAGTGATCTGGTTGACACTGGTGACTTTACTGCAACTGTTGGTGTTGGTGGCCATCATGTAGCCCTGCCCGCGACTCGACAAGACGAAGCAACGCCAATGTTCCTGATGTCTAAGCCCTTTGGCAATCGTCCACTTCCGACAACAGCTACAATAACATCTCCAATGCCACCACCAACATCTACTGTATTGTCACCTGCAATGAGGAGTGAAGTTGCCGGTCACGATTTCAACACTATGTCACCAGTCGGCAGAGCATCGGTGGCAAACAAACGTCGCAACATGGCACAGCTGCGACGTCGTCTACAGACATCGCTGCAAACTAGCAATATGACAGCGTCTCGCAGTCGGGACCTTGGTGATGCTGCAAGCCCCATGCCGCTGTTGCGTGGGCCGTCCAGAATACTAGGCAATCGCCGCTCGGCCAAGCCATCTGCCTCTCGTATGTATGCATCTGCTGCCGCATCTGCTGTGTCCTCGCCACTGCCTCGCTCTAGTCGTGGTGCGTGGACTGCTAATTCGTCACTGATTAACTCAGCTCGATTGCAACTAAGTGCTGTGAGTAATGTCACACCAACAAGAACACCTGGTTATCCCTTCCCCAGTCCCAACTACTGTCCATCAACTCTGCAACACTGCACCACCGCCGGTGGTGCTGTCAGGAGTGTCTTCTCACCGTCCCTACTGGCACCGTCGTCAGTCTTGACGGCTGCTGGCAACACTGCTATACACACCGATGCCAGTCTGGATATGGATGTGTCTGTAACGTTGGCATGGATTGATTCAAAGTGTCGCATAGCCAACCTGCCCATCCAAGACGCGTTTGTCTTACGTGACGTCAATGGTCGGTTCTTCATTTGTTTCTACCAGTCGGGTCCTCGTCAGTTGATGTGCATACCTGTCACAGAGGGCGGTGCGGTGCAGGGCCAGCCTCAAGTCTTTCACGACGTTACCGGTGCAGCGGCAGTTAATGCTCTTGGAGCTCTGTGCCTTGCCACCAGCAGCTCTCTTGACTTGATCAACATGCATGGCCAGCGCCACTGCTTGCAGTCATTACAGCCCGGTCCCTACTATGCTCCATCATTGAGCAACGTAGTCGGCTCATGGCTGTCTTTGTCTTTTCAAGGTGGGAAGACGTGCAAGAGAATGACGCTCGGCGAGCCCGTTACCAATGAGCTGTTGGAGATGTGTATAAAGACACTGCAAGATTGCCTGTCATCACCTGCCTTCAGTCACTTTGCTCTCGTCCTGTTTGGAAGCCTCTCTGTCCTGCCATTACGAGATGGAAATAGCAGCTGGTCCTGTTTGAAGCAGGCACTCTGCTCGGCTCTGCAATTGGAGGACAGAACAGTGACACACGGTGCTGAGACGGCCATGGAAACTGCCCAGGATGAAGAGGATCTGATCAGGACGGTCTGCTCTGCCTCTCCTAGCTTAGCAAAACCTATCCCTACACTCTGCCGCTTGTCCATCGCGGACAGCGTGTTTTCCACCGTCTCACTGCTGTTCAGTCAGCTCCATCTTGTCCATGAAGAGGTGAAGTTGAATGTGGAGATGTCAGCAAACACCACACGCCCTCTCGTTGCATTGCTGGCCAGTTTGGCATATGCTCTGCAGCTACCTGACTATGTGCGTTATTACATACTGGAGCATCCTGAACTGCACACGCAGCTTCTGCCGTATATCCATCCTCATCCGGTGTCCTATCGGAATATTCCTCAATACCCACTCAACATCACCCACTATCTGACGGCTCTGGCCGAATGTGCCAGTCCAGCCCCTGCCTGGCGTAACAACAGCATCTGTAAACGCTCCGATATGCTCACTCATCTGTATACAGTGCGAAGAGACTTTCTGCAGCAAGCAGCAGCAGCAGCAGCACAATCGGCTGAGACACCGACAACGTTGATTGGTGGATTCACACCTGTCAAACCAACACAGCTACCAGCATCACAGTCATTACTTGATAGGCTAGCTGCTGATATGGACGATAGTGACCTGACTGAGGACATCTTGGAATCACTACCGGTTGGCTTCAGAACGCCGGTTGAGCAGATGTTGGAGTGGTGTCGTCATGGCAATTTACCCAGCCTGCCGCTCTCGGTGTGTAAGCTGCTAGGTCGTAGTGATCAGGTGTTGCAGGCGCAGCTTACTGCTGACTCTGACATTGTTAAACCGGATATCGCCGTGCAGACCTTCTCACAACAAGAAGAAAGCAATGATGGCTTGGACTTCTCAGATCCGAAACTGCCTCTTCTGTTCTCGGATGATCTACGAATGAATGAAGTTTCCGCCTTGTTGCAGTCTACTCGTCCGGTTCTAATCACGGTGGAGCAGAAACAGGAGGCATCTGATCATGACCATCAACAAAACCAAGTACGCCAGCTCATGGCTATCTGTCAGAGAACGTTTGCATTGCCCATCGGTCGTGGTGCTGCTACGCTGCGTTCCGTGCGAACACTTCCGACGGAATCCCTGCCCGTTCCGATCCTGTGCAATACGGGCAAGACGCCCGCCCCGAGATCGGTGTGTATCAAGCTCAGAGAGGAGGATATACACGAGATGAGATGGCCGATGTTTCACAACGGCGTGGCCAGTGGTTTAGCCATGGGCAAGTACCGTGTGGACACAAAATGGATTCTTCACAACAAGCCGCAAGAAGAGGAGCAACAACACGAACATGGTGGCTTTCTCTTTGCCCTCGGTCTAAATGGGCATCTTGAAGCCCTGCGACCGTATGAAGTCTGGGAGTATTTGGCACAATTGAATATTGCCACCACAGTAGGTCTTCTGCTGGGTATATCGTGCATGCGCTGTGGATCACGTCAGCAGCAGACTCTGCGCTTGCTTGCTGCTCACATTGCATCGCTACGCCCTCCCAACTCACTGGTGGTCAAGGTCCATCCGTTGATTCAGATTGCCGCAGTCCACGGCGTGGGAATCCTGTCCATGGAGACGGCCGACCAGCACTTGGCTAACGTCTTTCTGCAACAGATTGGCCACTTGCCAGAGCAGACTGAGCTGAAGGATCTATGCAAGTTTGATCGGCATGCATATTCATTAGCATGTGGAATCTCACTGGGCATGATCATGCTTGGGCATGGTGAAGGCAAGTCATCCAGCAACCTGCACATCACAAGTCGTCTCTTCTCACTGCTCGAGGGCAAGTCTCCAGATTTGAGGCACAGCCAGCAGTCCGGCACAGCGTTTCCAGTGACTACATCCGGCCAAGAGTCAACAGCCGATTCAACAGCAGTGTGTGCTGAAAACCTCATCTTGAATGGTCTGGGAGTGGATTCTCATTGTACAAGTTCTGCTGCAGCACTGGCTTTAACACTGATGTACTTGAAGACTGGCAGCAGCGAAGTGGCCTCTTGGTTGCAGCCCCCATCCACCGTAAGAGAACTAACAGGAGTTCGTCCCGATGTCCTGGTGTTGCGTGTTGCTGGCCAGCATCTTGTTCTATGGGACTCGATTGAGACCAGCGAGAAGTGGATATCCGACAATACGCCTGCTCCTGTCCAACAATCTTCGGTAGCTTTGCGTGTGAAGGAGGGTCTTATTCCTCAGTATGAAGGTAGCTTGCAGCAAGCTGCATGCTGTGTACAAGCTGGATTGTGTCTTGCTATTGGTCTGCGATACGCTGGAACTCAAGACCAGGCTGCTTTCGATAGGATTTTGCGCTACTGCAAAGTCATGTTGAAGCTGAGTGACCCGAATGTGTGTCCAGAGGTGAGTGATTCACTTTCCGTAGCAACTTGACTGAAATGGTCTGCACCACCTCTGTATGTGTCTAGTTGTTGTGCAGTGCATATGCTGTCCATTTGTGCAATGTGTTCCCTTTGTGGGAAATGCCTTGTTTCTGGTGCCAGTTGTCTCATCATCAGCAACAGACTGTTTGCCTCTACTTCAAAGTACTATTTTAAAGTGTTCTTGTCCATGATGACATATATGTACTTGACAAGTATGATTATATAATTATATATATATATGTATTCGTGATATTTCTTCATTTTTCCAGTATGCGTGTGTGCATGTGCATGTGTGTGTGTGTGTGTGTGTGTGTGTGTGTGTGTGTGTGTGTGTGTGTGTGTGTGTGTGTGTGTGTGTGTGTGTGTGTGTGTGTGTGTGTGTGTGTGCGGGAAAAAAATGAAAAGACCAAAAATAGGGATTCACTGGCCAGAAAAAGTCACTTCAAAATAGCTGTATGGTGTAGACCAGGCTGAATAGTGACGGTCAATTCTTCAGCCTTGCAAGCTATTGAATGGTGCAATCCCAGCACAAGTTGCTATGGCTTCTGCCGTAGCATTGCTATCATCGCCTCTGGCGATGGGCGTCAAAGGTGTGTGTGTGTGTGTGTGTGTGTGTGTGTGTGTGTGTGTGTGTGTGTGTGTGTGTGTGTGTGTGTGTGTGTGTGTGTGTGTGTGTGTGTGTGTGTGTGTGTGTGTGTACAAACTCCTATTACTCTTACAAATCACAACTAATGTTGCTACTGCTCTAATGTCTACCCTTTACTTTTGTGACTGTTGTTGTTGTTGTTGTTGTTGTTGTTGTTGTTGTTGTTGTTGTTGTTGTTGTTGTTGTTGTTGTTGTTGTTGTTGTTGTTGTTGTTGTTGTTGTTGTTGTTGTTGTCGTGGTCGTCGTTGTCGTCGTTGTCGTCGTCGTCGTCGTCGTCGTTGTGGTAGGAGCACAAGCGTGTCTTTATCATGAGCCTCTTGGTCATGCTGTTGTCACTTTCCATGGTAAGGAATTGAAGAATACTGCCTTTTGCTTGACGAAAATGGCCAACGTGACTGATATAACGTCGACTACAAACCAGCTCACAAGTGAGGGGGTCCCCGGACTGTGAATCCAGCACAGCCACCACATGTTGAAGACAGTTGACTACCTGGGAGTATCTTATGCACTCAGTCACATTGAAGTTTGATGTTGAACTACTTATACCTCCTGCCCCCCCCCCCCCCCCCCCTCCCACACACACACACACACACACACACACACACACACAATTTTAATATACATACTAGTAGAACACCCTTTCACTGTACTGTTTCTGAGCAATGTTTTGAAGCAAGCTTTTCCCACTTCCCATCCAACTGACCTTTCCTGTTTTCGATAACGGATCATGTTGCAACTGTTGCTGTGTCCAGCCGATGCCAGTTTTGTGTGCACAATGTTCTCTGTTTACCATTTTGTTCTACTGCGCCTGGCGTGTTCAGGTGATGGCAGGTACTGGAAATGTCACCATTCTCAAGTTATGTCGTTTGCTGCATGCCCGCACCAGTGACGATGCATTCTCCTACGGTAGTCATCTTGCGGTTCACATGGCACTGGGATTTGTTTTCCTTGGTGGTGCCAGGTGCGTATACTCTGTTTTCTGCTTGCTGCTACTGTATGCGGGTATCCAGCAATGTATGTGCATGCAGATGACTGGGCTTGTTCTGACAAACTAACCTGTCTCTTCAGTCGGCGTGCTTCTGTTGTGTTTGTTTTCTTTGCTGTGGAAAGGATGCATGGGAGCAACTAATTGGAACATTTTTTTACCGGTAGCTCATTAGCTGACGAAATGTGTGTGTGTGTGTGTGTTTTTGTGTGTGTATCCTGTGTATGCGTGTGTGTGTGTGTGTGTGTGTGTGTGTGTGCACGTGCATATGCATCCTGTTTTGTGTGTGTGTATGTGTGTACACAAGCACACGCGCGTACGCATCCTGTGTGTATGTGTCATCCTGTGAATGCTCTATGTGCACATACAGGTATAGCTTCAGCCGATCGAACCGTGCTATTGCTGCGTTGCTGTGTGCTGTGTGTCCGCAATACCCCACACTTCCTAGTGACAACAGGTCAGTAAACAAGTGTGTCATCACACGTCGCACAGTTCGTCAGGTATTGTTTCTAGGTATTATTTCTAGGTATTATTTCTAGAGAGTTTCTTCCACAATTTCCCAGGGACAGGTATATGTTAGCAATCCATGCACAGATTGAATGAGGCTTTTACAAAGTTGGCTTTTTCTTAGGGGTGAAAGTTGGCACTGAGATCCCGAGTTCGAGTACTCAGATTTTCTCCAATCGAATATTCGAGTATTCTTCATCTCCTAAAAATTGCACACCAATGGCCTTAAAATCACATGATACAATCCTGATTGAACCGAGTAGCAGTCATTTTTCTCGGGTATATTGGTTGGTGGGTCATTTGGGCTCTCTCTACTCGTGAACAAATCATCGTTACAAATGCTCACCACACAGTCTGCACATCAATATCTGCCGACTGCTGCTCTGAACACTGCAGATGTCTGTGGTAAAGACATGTACATGTACCATGTATGAACGAGTACTCTGATTTATTCCGAGTACGATTATTTTTGAAAAAAAAACCGAGCGAGTACTCGAGTATTCGGTATAATTGTTTCACCCCTACAAGTTTTTCTCCTTTTGTATTTCTGTTTGTTAGGTGCCATCTACAGGCATTGCGTCACCTGTATGTGCTAGCAGCTGAGCCACGACTGCTTGCTCCTGTTGATGTGGACAGTGAGGTGCCGTGTAGAATACCACTTGTTGTCACCATGAAGGTACGCATGCCGAACATCTATCTAGCAAAGTCAGCCACTGCACAGATGCCATTGCACCGATGCATACAAGTGACAAAACATTGCTGTAGCTTTTCTGGGGGTAAATTGTTCCATATTTGGCAGGTACAGCCAGCCCGAGTTCATTTGTGAATAGGACTGTACGCAGTTCATGACCTGTTATGCAGGGTTGGCACCATAATGTGTACTGTTGAAGTGGATTGGCGCCATGGCGGTCGGGTGGGTGACATCAGTAGATGTCACTTGAGAGGCAGAAACGCGTGACACCCGAGAAAGGTCAAATCTCACAGTGACGTCAGCTGATGATGACTGTGCCTCCAATCACAAGATCGTGGACTAGAATCTAGGCTAGATCACTCCGGGGTTTTTTCTTTCTTTCTTTCTAGGATGTAGAATAATGTATATTAGAGGGTTGTGATATGCAGTAATGCTATCACTGATTGAAAAAATCCTTGTGTAGTGTAAAGATGGAATTTGACCTAAGCAAACTCACTATCACCTATGATGGAAAGAAACTCAAGACTGAGAAACAACTCCGGTGGATTCACAAAAAATTAGGGCAAAAAAAGAATCGGGAACTTCACAAGAAACAGATCCGGAAGAATCGAAAGAGGTATCCGATTGTCACACCACCATTCACAGTCTTAAAGTCAGTACCCAAAGGGATTCTGAAATCGTTCATCTATGAACCGAAAGAGAATCATCCAGATCTGTATATATTCTTTGACAGTAGGGAGGTTTCGCTCTACGTAATTACGTATGAAAATCTGTATGTCGTACGCGCCGGGGAGCGAGGGCAACTTTCATACGGAAATCTCTCTACGGATTTCCGTAGGAAACCTCTTTCCTACGTTGAGTCCTCCGTAGGACTTTTTGAAATATTTTTCGCATTTTCCGCATTTGCCCATGGCAACATTCAAGCCACGCGAAACACAAGGTACACACACCACTCCCACCACTCCCACCACTCTTCTATACAGTCATACTAACTTGTACGCCCTTGAGAAACGCATCAACTTCAAAACCTATGTATTTGTTTACCGCTGCCTGAATGGACTTGCTAGTCCTCTTCTGCGAGACCGCTTTACCTTGCGCGACCATGGTGCTCGCACTGCAGCCACCACCCGTGGCCAAGTCTCTGCTGCTCTTGTTCTGCCCCCGCTAACACCCGACATGGCTTTAGTGCAATTTCTTATTTGGGCGCTGCCAGGTGGAATACACTTCCACCCGCTTGCCGCATGTCTAGTTCACCAGCTGAATTTCGCTCATCCATCAAATTATACGTAGGGTTCCCTGTAAAAAGGCGCTGACGCCTGTTGGGAATTCCCTAGTAAAAGAATAAATAATAATAATAATAACACCGTACACCACGTGCAAAATATAATGGAAAACGCGGTTTCGGTTCATGGTGCATGCCAGGGATTCCGGAGTCGACTCCCTGGTGCATGCGGTGGGCGCATGCAGCCAACGTGTCTCCAAAGCAACAACGCATGTTTAGCAGTCGTGGAGAAATCACGTAGAGCGAAACCCAACAGCTCTGATTTTTACGTATGAAAATTCCGTGTAGTTCATACGTTATTTTCATACGTAATTCCGTAGAGCGAAACCTCCCTAGTATCAGCATCCCACTGAGAACACTAATACAGAAAGAACTGGAAAATCTCGAAGGTGTGAAAGTCAGTCTGACATTACAAATAGAAATGGAGAAAGGAGATGACATAACAACCACAGACACACCGTACTTCAGAAGTGGACCAATGACAGTCACAACATCTCATGAGATTGGTGACGGTATTCGAACGGCACACTCACGAATTCATAGAAATATCGATAAGTGGATACAGAATGGATCAAACTGGCACATCAATCACATCACCAGATTTTATGTTGATGTAGCAGCATATCAGCCAATGAGAGGTAAATCCTACATTGATTTACCGACCGATCTCAAGAAAAAGAAGGCAATCATCAATGTCAAGAATAAGGATGATAAATGTCTGATGTGGGCACTGCTCTCAGCTCTGTATCCAGCAAAGAAAAATGGTGACAGGGTAACTCAGTATACAGAATATAGCAACAAACTTCATCTGTTCGGAATCGATTTTCCAGCACCACTGAGTCAAATTTCCAAAGTTGAGAAGCAAAACAACCTAGCTATCAATGTCTTTGGGTATGAGGATAACGTGATCTATCCGCTACTGCTGACAAAGAAAAGAGGTGAGAAAGTGATCAATCTTCTACTCTACCAAAAAGAAGATCAGAGTCACTACTGTTGGATCAAAGATTTCAGTAGATTGTGCTACGATCAGTCAAAACACAAAGCCAGAAAATTCTTCTGTACAAGATGTCTCCAACCTCACAACACAGAGAAATCCCTGAGCAACCATCAGGAGTATTGTGATAATGTCACTGGATTATCAGCACATATGGTACTACCAGAACCGGATGACGATGGAAATCAGCCAACACTGAAGTTTATCAATCATCACAAAATGCTACAATGCCCCTATGTCATCTATGCTGACACTGAGGCACTGATCAAGAAAATCGATGGAGTGAAACGCAAACAAACTATCCAGGATACTACGCAGCATGTTGCTTGTAGTTTTGGCTATGTCGTGGTGCGTTCTGACGGAGTGATGACAAGTCAGTGTTTCTACCGGGGTGATGACTCTATGGATGTATTCTTTGATAAACTCAAAGATGAGGAGAAGAAAATCCAATCAACACTCAATAATCCAGCACCGATGGACCTCACTAAGGATCAAGAAAATTGTTCAGAGAGACAGAGGACTGTTGGATTTGTAAAAAGAAACTTGGTGTTGACAGAGTCCGTGATCACGACCACATCACTGGTGATTTCCGCGGTGCCGCACACAATGACTGTAACATCGAACTCAGAATTTATCCATACAAGCAACACATCCCTGTGGTTTTTCACAACTTGAAAGGCTATGACAGTCATCATCTCATCGGAGCAATTGGAAAGACAGATGTTGAGACCGTCACATACACGGATAAGGATGGTGTATGTAAGAGTAAAACTGTGGGTGATATATCAGTCATTCCCAACAACATGGATAAATTCATCTCATTCACATGGAGACAGTTCAGGTTCATCGACAGCTGTCAGTTTCTCAATGCCTCACTTGATAGACTGGTGAAAACAACACCAGATGACTCATTCACTCACACCAAGACGTTGTCAAACCATCAGCTGTTGATGAGGAAAGGGATACACCCCTATGAATACATGAACAGCTTCTCCAGGTTTGATGAGACTCAGCTACCAGCACAGAGTAAGTTCTATTCTTCACTGTCTGATGAGGGGTGAGTGACGATGACTACAAACATGCTGAGACGATTTGGATGAAATTCGACTTTCAGACTCTTGGTGATTATCACGACTTGTATCTCAAGACCGACGTGTTTCTCTTGGCTGACGTCTTTGAGAATTTCAGAGTAGAAGCTGTCAGGACGTATCAGCTGGATCCAGCAAATTACTACACTCTGCCTGGATTCGCCTGGGATGCTCTGTTGATGTACTCAGGTGTGTCCTTGGAATTACTAACAGACTATGATCAGCACTTGTTTGTAGAATCAGGAATGAGAGGTGGTGTGTCGATGGTCTCACAACGATATGCTGCTGCTAATAATCACTATCAGGAGAAATTATGATGCTGATCAACCATCGTCATTTATCCAGTATCTCGATGCTAACAATCTCTATGGTTGGGCCATGTCACAGCATCTCCCAGTGTCTGATTTTCAGTGGGAGAAACCATCAGAGAAACTCCTGAACAAGATGCTGAATACTCAAGATGATTCCTCATCGGGGTATCAGAGGCCTAGCCAAAGCCGGCTCAGCCGGCAGAATGCCGGCTGGGAGGGCGACCTGCCGGCTGAGACAGCTCCAAGGGTTATTTTGGCCGGCTGGCAAACAATTGAGATTCAGAGAAATTTTCAGTTTCTACAAGTACAAGTATTTGTAGCATGCTGTGTTCGGGATCATTATTCTTTCAATCATGTCACCAAGCCCACTATCCTCCGCCAAGGTAAGAGTCGACCACTGTCAGCTGTCGAAAATAGGTCCAGTTTCTGCAACTACAATGTCCGAATAATCGTGGAAACAGAACGACCGGCACAGCAGCGAAAACTACTTCCACTGTACTGGTACTGCACTACAGTGCACTGTACTTGTGTAGATCCCGTAAGTGCACTGCACTAGCACTTGAGTCAGTAGATCTACGTAGCAGAGGCTACTCACTGTAACTCAGGCTCAGTGCTAGCTCTTCACTCACCCTGAAATGCACTTGAGTACGACTCGTATGCACTCGAGTACATGTACGTCGTTGGTGCGCAGAGTGCCAGTAAAAACTAAAATGTAACAGGTGCTAGGTCGGGTCATGGTTCGCTGCTTCCGGTGGGTACACGGCTGTGACACTGACAGCTAGACTCTGGACTGTCATATCGTGGGCCATTCGTGGCTAGGCTGGGTCTTGTGCATGCTGCATTTCGGAACACATGACCATCGGCATTGTACACTACTCCAGTTGTTGTGGCGGACCACTCAGGCACTGCGTTGCTTTAGTTAATAATAATAATAATAATAATAATATCTTTATTAGGATGACCCAGAGGCTTGTCGCCTATCAAGGGGTTCACCGCTTTGAAGGATGTACATGTACACGTATGAGCTAAAGTGAAAGTAGTGAAAAGTTGTGCAGCGTGAATGCGTTGGGGAGCACACGGGGGTTATGTACATGGCGTAGGCATACCGGAGAGCAAAGCACTATGTTTGCAAGTGAGTTTGCGAAGCTCATTCTTGAAAACAATAATGGATGGTTCTGCAGTTAGTCTTGGTGGGAGGCAGTTCCATAAGAGGGAGGTTTGGAAGAGAAACAACGATTTTGATGTGGTCTTTGCTTTAGGGAGAATAATTTTGTTAGGGCGTCTCGCACTCTGCGTGATATTGAAATGGAATGAAGCTAGGCAACGTCGATACTTGAAAATAAATTTGTGCATGGTAACCAAGCTTAAAAACTGCCTGCGGTAAAGAAGGGATTCAATGTTAGCTTTTTTATTAAGATCCTGCTTGGGTGTATTAGTTGTAGCACTTCAAGTAGTTCCTCCACGTTGCTTTAGTGAACACATGATCCATGCTGATGTAGCTGTTTCAATAGTGTTTGTTTCCTTTTTCATATTAATTATTTTTGTTAATTTACCTATAGTCACAATGCCATTGTCACAACTGCCTGATAAATGTCCATAATTGGACGAAGCGAAAGGAGATGCAAGCTGCAATGAAAGATTTGTAGTGGTGTGTGTGTGTGTGTGTGTGTGTGTGTGTCTGTGTGTCTGTGTGGATATGTGACTGATGGCGGGGGTCTGGGGGCGCAGCCCCCAGCACGATGCATTTTCACTAGAACGTTGGCCGGCTGGCATAAAATCCTGGCTAGACCTCTGGGTATATCGTTGAATGTGATCTGGAATATCCACACGAACTTCACAAGGAGCACAACGATTATCCAGTTGCTCCGGAACATCTTTCCGTCAATGAGGACATGCTATCTCCATACCAGCAGGAGCTTGTTGATAAACTCAATTCTTCCGGAGTAGATGCTCTCAAACTTGTACCAAACTTGAGGGATAAGACGAAGTACGTTCTCCATTATCGAAACTTGAAACTCTACACTCAGCTTGGACTACGTTGTGTCAAAATCCATCGTGTTCTGAAATTTACTCAGAAGCCGTGGATGAGAGACTACGTCCAGAAGAACACTGATCTCCGGAAGAAGGCAAAGGATGATTTCTCTAAGGACTTCTATAAACTGATGAACAATGCGGTGTTTGGGAAAACTATGGAGAACGTTCGGAGGAGAGTCAACATAAAATTGCTGAGAAGTCGTGAGGAGAAAAAAATCAAACAGCTTGTTGCTAAACCAACGTACAACCGCCATGTGATCTTCAATGATGGGCGGGAAGACTATGCATAGCTGCCATTGTATGTTGGTAGTATAGCTGCCATTGTATGTTGGTAGTCAAGAAGTCTCCACAGTAGATGTACAACAGTGTGTCTCTCCCACGTTTATGTTTGAACCCAGTGCACAAACACGCACTATGCCGGGTTGTGGTGTTCAAGCCTCCATGACTGAACAATGATCGTAGGCTGCTATTTTATTCTTTCTTGAAAAGCACTGGCTACCGTGACTGGCAAAATGTTGTAAAAATTGGAAACACACAAGGATTGTCACTTTCTTCGCTGTTTCGTGAATGCCTGCTTATCGTGTGCACAGGACGGACATCAGATTCATCAGACTGCCCCTATGATACTGCCTAGTCTGACTGATATTAAGACTGTGAGTGACACCAGTACAGCGTTTGCCGTTGTGGTCACTATGAGATCTGTATGGCCTGAGTGAACTATGCGGTCTGTATGTGGGCTGTATGGTCTATATGGTGTGTGTGGTGTGTGTGGTGTGTGTGATCTATGCAGTACAGTGTCATCTGTGTGATCTGTGTGATATATGTACTGTGTAATCTTTGTGATCTGTATACTGTAGTCTGTATGGTGTGTGCTGTGTGTCGTCTATGCGGTTTGTGTGATTTGTGTGATCTATGTGCTCTGGGCGATGTGTTTTATCTGTTGTAATCTCTGTTGCCTGTATGATCTGTATGATCTGTGTGATCTGTGTGAGCGGTCTTACCTGGTTTACCGGTGTTAGCTGTGTAGTCTGTATAATCGGTGTGTGAACGTGATCTGTGTGATTTGTGTGGTGTGTGTGTGGTTTGTGTGATTTGTGTATGTTCTTATATTTGTAAATCAACAAATGGTCAGCATTGATGTGTGCGTGCGTGCGTGTGTGTGCGTGTGTGTGTGTGCGTGTGTGTGTGTGTGTGCGTGCGTGTGCACGTGTGTGTGGTATGTGTGTGCGTGTGCGTGTATAACTGTGTTGAAATGGTGCATAGGTATGTACTGACAGCTCGGCTCATTGGCCTATCACACTGGACTTTGTAACCAGCTACAAGCACTGCAGGTAAGAGTACATGTATGCTCTGTGTTTCTCTAGTGCTCTGGTGGCACGAAACTGGTCGCACAGCACAGTGGCGCACACACACACACACACACACACACGCGCGCGCGCACACGCACACACACGCACCACACACTTGTACTTGCTCACTGCCAAAAACTGATCATGTGGGTCTTCCCGGTAGAGGGGAGAGAGGCTCAAAAGGAATCTTGGAAAGATGATTCAATTGGCTATTGAACCGCCCAACGGCCGACACCCCCTGAAATCCCCAAACTCTGGATTGACTTAGAAATGATCCCACTTATGGGGGGGGGGGGGGGGTATCCAGTGAACGGCAAAGGAAGTTTTCTGCAAGCTTTTAAGCCTATTCTGATCACCCACTTTCTGAGTTTTCCTTTTCAGTTCACTGGATACCTGTACATGAATAGTAAAGCTACTGCCGGTACTAGCTACTTTGTTGCTCTTTGTACAATATCATCATGTATCTTGTTTGTTTTGTACACTTGTAGGAAGATAGTGGAGGAGCACAGAGGTGTTCTATTTGTCAAGAAGAGACCTGTCAACGAAGCGGTGAGTAGTGTGAGAGATGTTTCACTGTTCACGTCTTTGCGCGGGCACCAACCTAACAGTTATGGAGTAGTGTCAGATCTGCCGTAAGCAACCTCTTCTTGTTGGCAGACTATCTGCTGTCATCAGCCAGTTGTTCTTTGTCTTGCACCGATGGTTTCGCGTACGAACTGATCCATCCTGGGCGGTGGCCATCTGCTTTGTGTGGGCAGCGACCATGATGTCATGCACTGGAGCTGCTCATCAGCCTGATGCCTTGATGCAATGAGGTGTATGACCCTATTAGGTTTTATGAAAGTGTGCCCAGCCAGAGTGGCAAGGTGTTAAGCATGCACTGGCTTGCAAACCCATGCAGGCACCCGACCCTGTCAAGTCTCAAGAGTGAGAACAAACACCCAACCCTGTCAAGTCTCAAGAGTGAAAACAAACACCCAACCCTGTCAAGTCTCAAGAGTGAGAACAAACACCCAACCCTGTCAAGTCTCAAAGAGTGAGAACAAACCAGCAGCTTTATCATGTTGCTCGTCACAAGTTCTTTTTGTGTGTGTGTGTGATTTTCTGATCTCGCATGTTATTTTGAATGCGCATCAGAATAGTTTCATTGATCATGTACACACTGCTTATGACATCAGGCATGTGAATTCCAGAACAGACATGATTACTTTTCTCAATCCAACCACTCACCCGTGGTCTCTCTCATGCTGCAAAGGCCACATGTAACCATTGCAGCAGAGAAACCGTGTGTGAGTGGATTGTGTGAGTGGATTGAATGAGTGGATTGTGTGAGTGGATTGTGTGAGTGGATTGTGTGAGTGGATTGTGTGAGTGGATTGGATTGAGAAAGGTATTGTGTAAATGGAGGGCAGTGTAGTTTGCCGATCCTTAGAACAGACATGATTCTCGGTGCAAAGTTCCAAACATTTGCTGACACATGACCTTAACAATGAATGGGTCTGTGTAGATCAGCCCTGCCCTGGTGTAGACCAGCCCTGCCCTAGTGTAGACCAGCCCTGCCCTAGTGTAGACCAGCCCTGCCCTAGTGTAGACCAGCCCTGCCCTAGTGTAGACCAGCCCTGCCCTAGTGTAGATCAGCCCTGCCCTAGTGTAGACCAGCCCTGCCCTAGTGTAGACTAGCCCTGCCCTAGTGTAGACCAGCCCTGCCCTAGTGTAGACCAGCCCTGCCCTAGTGTAG